AAACATTTGGTGAGATGCTTAACCTCGCTAGTAATCAGGGAAATGCAAACTGAAACCACAAATACATACTACAGTATAGCCACCAGATTGGCAAAAATTTTAAATGGTGACAATATCAAACATCAGGAATCATGTGGAGCAATGGTGACTCTTCTACAGGATTAATGGGATCCATAAATTGGTAGAGCCACTTTGAAAAACTGTTTGGTATTACCTAGTAAAGTTGAAGGTATGCAATATCTAGTAATTCCATCCCTCCAAGTATGTAATTAGGGAAACCTGATGTGGGTACACCAAGATATACGTAGAAGAATATTCACAGCAATGTTACTCACAGTGGCCAAAAACTGGAGACAAGTGTTTAACAATAACAAGATGGATTAATAAATTGTGATATATTCTACAATGGAACACTATTCGGCAATGAAAAAAATGAGCTGCCATAACACGGATGAATCTTACAAAATAATGTATAGCAAAAGAAGCAAGACATAAAAGACACATAGAAGAACACATATATCATGACTTGTATAAAGTTCAAAAAAAATTCAAAACTAAAATATACTGTTGGCGGATTCCAAAATTAGGTGACAAAACTCTAGAGGAAAAAGGAAATGATAACCCAAAACATTAGTGTAGTGGTTACTTCTGGAAGAGAAGAGAGGGAGATGTGATTGAAAAAGACAAAGAGGAGCCATGATCTAGTTCTTGACTCAGGTGTCACTTTATAATTACTTGATATTTAGCACCTCTGTGTTTTATGCACCTTCTGTATACATGCGGCATTTCACAATTAAAAAGTTAAAAATCTCGTGGCACCTGGCTGGCTCAATCGGTGGAGCGTATAACGCTTGATCTCAGGGTTATAGGTTCAAGCCCCACCTTGGATGTAGAGATTACTTAAAAATAAAATCTTTATTGTGGCTCAGTCAGTTGAGCGTCTGACTCTTGACTTCAGCTTGGGTCATTATCTTGAGGATCGTAAGTTCTGGCCCCATGTCAGGTTCTGCACTGACATTGCAGAGCCTGCTTGGGATTCTCTGTCTCCTTTCTCTCTGCCCCTCACCTCCCTTTTCTCTCTCTCTTAAAAATAAACGTTAAACAAAAAAAAGAAAAAGAAAATCTAAATAAATAAATAAATAAGTGTTAAAAATCTAAAGGAAAATTAAAACTTGGGCCAATGGGTGCTTTTCCGTATTTTCATACTTTCCAAATACATACATCCTAACTGGTTCTGATCATCACCAGGTTTGGGAACAGCTCCAAGGAAATTATTTTCAATCTGCCCCTGCAAACAACCCACCATCACCAACAACATCCCTTCTCTCATCCCTCAACCAGATGTCCGAGAGGAAAAGAGAAATTCCTCCCAGCTTCTCTGGCTCTTTTCCACGGGCTGCCCCCGGCTGGGTGACAAGACCACACACCACTGTGCACACACAGAGCACAGCGGTGCTCGAAGAGGCTACGTGCTGGCTGTCAGAAGCCCAGTTCCCTCACCGGCCACAGGTCTCTGCTTTCTTGCCCCACTTACCAAACCAGATTTGGCCCAAGGTGGACCATGGCCTGGATATTATATTCATCTGGTCAGCCTGGAATGCCTCAGAGGAGACATTTCAAGCTGTAACGGGGAACGATGCTGAGTGCCTGACTAAGCCCAAATCCAGAGGGTCGAAAGATAGAGGAGGGACCTGAGCTCTTTACAGATCTAGAAAGCAGTCCAACCTGAGCTCTAAACTTCCTCTCTCAATGGCATACTTCCAACGGCTCGGCAGTCTGGGCGGAGGAAGCACACAGTGGCCACTCTCTTCAGCAAGTCCTATTCCAGATCTGCCAGTAATCTCCACATAGATGTCCACTGAGTGCCTCTAATTCACACGGCTGAACCGCTTTCTTCCTAAACCTCTTCCTCCCCCAGCATTCCCGCTTAGTGAAAGGGAACGATACCACCGTCCACGCAAGCCTGAAACCTACATCCCCCTTTTCACTCATGCCTTCCATCGAACTCATCAGCAATCCCATGGGTTTGAGCTCTAAAATTCTGGGATCTGTCCACTGCCTCCAGCCTGTCACCCCATCCTCCCTCACCCAGGTCTCCACCTCCATCATGGCCACCATCCTCTCTTACCCGGAATACTTCAACCATCCCCTAAACGAGCAACGAGGCTCCATGCCTTCCCTCCTCCTATGGCTTCTTCACACAACACTCAAAGAGATCTTTCTAAAATGCAAGCACGATTACATATCTCCCTTGCTCAAAAGCTTTTAGTGGCTCCTTATTATCTTCTGGATGACATCCAAACTTCTTAATATGGGGTCTGAATCCCTTTGTTTTCTAACTCACTAGGTCTCATCTTTTATAATTCTATCCCTCACATGCTTTGATCCAGCTCTACTAAAACCGTATACTCTTAAAAGTACCAAGCCCTCTCACCTCACCTTTGCATGCCGTCTCCTCTTCCTATTTTTTCCTATCTAACCCTTCCTTGGCCCAGATAATTCCTACTTATTTCTCAGATGAGAGGTTACATGTCAATTCCTCTGGGGGTCTTCTCTTGTTCCCCAAAGCCCTTTGTGTTCCTTCAGCACCCTACCCTGTGACACCACCTCTCACAGGAAATGCTAAAGTTGTTTGTGTGTCTTCCCCTTGATGGCAGGAATCAGATCTGTATTCCTCGTCTTTATATGCCCCAGTACCTCATCCAGGATGACAGGCAGCAAGCACCCAATGCCTAATTTAATGAATGAGCAGACAGCTGTGTATTCAGAACTCTGAGGCTTTAAAAAAAAAAAAAGTGAAGAACAAATCTCTATCTTCAAAAGTTTACAGATGAAGACACCCTAGATCGTCTTCATCCTTTACCCGCAAAAACACCTCCAAGAGCCAGGTGACACTGACCACCTAGACATGGTCAAATCAAGACAAGTAACTCAGGACAGGAAAAATCACTCACCGGAGGCACCCAGCTAAAGGCCTGTCTGGGATTCTTATACTCGGCTCTGATTTATTCTACCCATCACCACCCGCACTGCCCAGAACATCTAGCAGAAAGACCTGATGCGTAAAGAACCACCAGAACACACTTGGTAATGTAACTGAGCTGAGGGATGATGGCAGCAGAGAAAAAATTCCACCTGAACTAAAGACCTGAGCCCCAGGCTGGCACTTCTGCAGGACCCCATCGAAACCACACAGCCAGCAGATGGTTCTAAGTCCGAGACTTCCCTGCTCAAACCACTTCTGCCTGCTCAGCAGCTGCTACCAGGAATATGGACTGGAAAGAAGTCCAGACCCTTCCTCCTTGATTTGATGGTAACTACAGGGCAGCATCACACATGCATTTAACTTGGAATTCAAAATAAAGAGAGAGGTGGGGTGGAGGGATATCCTCTCAGTGTGAGCAACTCAGAACTGGGTGAGATTCTAGTGCTGAGAGATTTGGATTGCATTTTTGGCTCCTAAACACAAGCCTTCTCAAAGAAACCTGTTTATACCTTTCTTTTGTGTTCCTTTTCTTATTTTATTCTTTCAGTCTTCTGCTCTTTTGCATTTATGTAACTTTAAGGACTAAAATTATATTTTCTATGTATGCCCCTTCTTATATACTATACGGTACTATATGTTACACATTTATATGAACATATTACCATAAAAAGAATGTATATGCAAAAATCAACTAGTAATGTTATGTTATGGTAATTTATTAACTTTTTAAAACTACTGTTGATTACACATGGTTTCTGCCTACATGCTGACTTTAGAACCTGATACCCACTCAGGATGTAGGTCCTCCATGGGTACCATCTTCCACGTTCCTCCTCTGGTATCTGCCAGAGAGTGATACCAGGCCGGGAATGATAGGGCTTTGTCTAACATTCAGCAAAGACGCTGAGAACTCTAGTGGCCAAGTTGACAATGACAGCAGCCTATATCTGCTCCCCGCTTCAGGATCATCACCAGCCCCCAGGGTGGAACTGAGATGTAGGGCACCCAAGACCGGCCAAAAGAAAGAGCTTGTCAAGTCGGCTCCTGACTTTTGATTTTCTTTTTCAGGGACAGCTTTGAAATCACACTGACTAGAAGCAAGCAAGACCAGTTCCCTTCCCCAACCCTCCTTCAGCCCTCAACCCAGAAGAGTGACAAGCGGGGAGATAATCCACACCTCACTGCTAAGGAAGGATTTATTTGGGTTTTTTAGGCCCAGCCATAATCCTAACCTAAAGTGAGGGCTTTGGGACTTCAGACCACTACAGAGGTATCCACAGGCTCTCAATATCCCAGACTTAAGTGTCCTTCTGCAGCCGTAACCGGCCTAAGGATCCAAATTTCCAAAGAATACACAAATAATCCTTAGAACAGTCTTATTCCTTCACAACTTCAGAAGAGGATCAGAGTCCCCATTTTTCAGATGAGGAAAGGGTGAAATCTTAATAGTAATAACAAGACAAGATCACAGTTCTCTGGACTTCCTGTTTCCCCAAACAAGATTTCTGGAAAATTCTGGCTAACTTTTAATTACTCAACACCAGGGGGGTTCTTATCCATCACAAATTTCACTCAGCTGTCTCCCCCCCCCCCCCCCAATGCCTAAACCTCCCCATGTTTCCTCTTCAACTCCACTTCCCGGCTTCTTTTTCAAGATCTAAACACCTCCTTGGATCCCGAAAACTCCGCTTTCAGAGCAGCGCTTCCGAGGAGCAACTCCACTTCTTAAGAAACACCCTTTCCCGAGGCTCAGAGCCCCCGCCTCACGGGCCCCTCATTCCCCCGCATCCTTTGCGCACCCACCCTGCTCAGGCCTTTTGTGACCGGCTCCCTCAACTGTCTCGCCTCATTACCGAGGGACCCAACCTGCTTACGGCCGGCACCCGAAGTTTCCGACTGTGTTCCTCCAACTGTCCCGGGTGCAGCTCCCGCCCTCGCCAAAGTTCAGGCCTGAGCCTATTCTTGCCGAGAGTCCCGCATCCCACCACCGCAGCTCCGGCTCCCGCGCGCTTACCCGACCAGAGCACGAGCTTGCCGTGCGCTTCCTCCTGGGAGTCCGAGTCCCCGGCCAGCAGAGTGGAGGTGGCCCCGTAGGGCAGCGCCGAGCCCAGGCACACGTTGTAGCGCAGCGGCTCGCAGGGGGCTGCCCGGCCGCAGTGGCTCAGCAGCGGCGGGGGGCCGGTCACGGCCGCGCTCCGTCTCGCGCTCCCGCCCGCGCTCCGCGGCCCAGGCCCAGTAGCGTTCCCGCTCAAGGCCGCCCCCCGGCCCGGGCCCCCCAGCAGCAGCAGCAGCAGCAGCCCCAGGAGCAGGATCCCTGGCCCCAGTGCGAGGCGGGCAGCGGCCATGGCCAACCCGCCAACTCAGCAGAAGCCCCGGCGCCCCCGACCGCTCCCCTGAGCCCCCCGGCCACACGCGCAACCCCTGGGGCCGCGGATGTGGCTCAGGCGACCTGTGCGCCCGGCGAATCGGGTGCCGGGCCCCCTCGCACGCTCCGCGCGCCGCGGGCCCTCGGCGCCCAACTTCGCAAACTTTGGAAGCCGGGGCCCATGTTGGGCGGCGGAGGCCCCGGCCGGGATGCAGGACTCCCTACTCTCTCTCCGGGCAATCCGAGTTGTCTTCAGCCCCGGGAGCCCCCTGGGCCCCCAATCTCCAGCCCCATTCCCTCTTAAAACTATCTTCCAGCCCCGCGATGGAGGCCGGGCGCGGGCAGGCGGTGGGGGATATCTCCCCGGCTTCGCCTCTGCACCAGCCCGCGGCCCAGCAGCCACCTTCGCCCGAGCGCGCCGCAGACCCCCGACTTCTCCCCCACCGACTCCCCGTCTCCTTTGTTGCTCTAGCTCGCTCGGCTCTCTGGAATGCACGGGCCTCGCGGAGCCAAGCCCGGCCCCACCTCCGCCACGGCTTGGGGAGGGACTGGCAGAGGGAGGGAGGAGGAGGGGAGGGGATGCGAGAGAGGAGGAGCGCTGGCTTCAGCGTCCCGGGTCCCTGGAGGGGCCTGGACCGGGAGGCTCTGCGGACCCAGTTCTCCGCCCTGGGGCAAGAGATGGGAGGAAATCGTGGCCGAGAGCTGCAACCAGACTCAGCGGGCACCTGATCGGCCTGAGGATCTTTCGACTTGGTCGTCTGCAGGGAGTAGACTCTTCTGGTTTACAGTAGGAGACACAGAGGGGGGTGGGGAGGGATGCCTGAAGTCAGCGGAAGCCTCTTCTAGATCCTTGCCTAGTCCCCCAACCCCACCAGTTTTTTCTGGTTTTGGTTAGATCTTTCAATTTGTCCAGGGGCCCCATGGACGAGAGCCAGGATTTGGGGGACTCGCTTACTCAATCCTTCCAACTCGGGACCTGTGTGAGAGATGAACTGAGAGTCACGCAGGGCAGCTGGCCCGCTGCTGTTACCTGTGAGAGCAGGTGTCTGGAAACCAAAAGTGCCAACATCATCCTTTATTGCTACAAGTGTGTGAAGTGTGAACTGTGGTTTCCAACGATTGACCCTGGCATGTCTTTGGTTATGTTCAAAGGACGTCATCCCATGCTTATGGCCTTTGTTGCTCATATGGTGGCTGAGGAAGTTTCTGAGGCTCTCTTTCCCTATTCTGCTCATTTTGCCTTTCCTCGCCTTTACTTGTGATGCTTTGAGTCACCATACTTGATTTCTCCGTGCAGCAGTTTACGCCTATAGCCACGGGTCCAGCCAAGAGAGTGGACTTACATACTCTGAGCAACTTTTCTGTGTGCAACACAGTAGGATGGCTTCTCCTTTCTCCCCCTACCCTAACCCCTTCAGCATAGGTGATGTAGACTAGTTTTGTTAGGTTTCGCCATTTAAGAGCAAATTAGCTACTGCACTTCAGCAACATCCTCAATTAGTAGGTAAGCCCTAGAGACAGAGATACCGAGAGAGGATTTAATTCAATTTAGCAAGTCTTTCTGAAATCCTAGATGTACATAGCACCATAATAAGCATCATATCCTTGCAGAACTTGAGAACTTGCATTTTACTGTGGAGACAGCCTTGCCCTCAGGAGATAGTAATATATCATGATAAAGTAGCAAAGTCTTCTCCACCAGGGCAGGGACCTTATTCTATTTTCTGTAGTCACAAGGCATCTAGACCTGCATATTAATCACTTAATAAGTAAACTGCCAAAGTGAGGTGTACAGTGAGTGTGCAATAGGAATTTATAGCAGGGGGAGGTTGGAGTGGGTAGAAGTGGGGGAGGTGGGGTTTGAAGCCAGCCCTGAAGTGAGAAGGAGGAATTAAAAAAGTAGAGAGGAGCAGAGCTGGCATTGCACGTGGAGGAAACTTTATACCCCAGAGCATGAATAGCCTAGCCATCAGGACATAGTGGGGGATAAGGAGGGAAAATGATTGGTAAGAAGACTCAAATGCCATATAGAGAATATACGGGTTTTTTTTTTTAATGTTTTTATTTATTTCTGAGAGAGAGAGGCAGTGTGAGCAGGGGAAGGTCAGAGAGAGAGAGGGAGACACAGAATCTGAAACAGGCTCCAGGCTCTGAGCTAGCTGTCAGCACAGAGCCCGACATAGGGCTTGAACCCATGAATCACGAGATCATGATCTGAGCTGAAGTCGGACACTTAACCGACTGAGCCACCCAGGCGCCCCTACAAGAAATAAGGTTTAATTCTATTGGCAACAACATTCTAAAGGAAGTCGCTAGTGATTTATGGAAGAAGAGAGAATGGACTGTGTCATTAGAGCATAATATTTCTACCAGAAAAATCATTTAAAACATTGTTACCTACTTGACTAATTTTTCTGTGACATAAATGAAATGCCGGTATAACCTGTCCAAAGTCTGAGCCACAGAGAAAGTTACATGACACCATGCTGACATTTTGCTTTCAGAACTTTCTCCACTTATTATTTATTTATTTATTTTACATTTATTTATTTTTGAGAGACAGAAAGAGGCAGAGCACAAGTCGGGGAGGGGCAGAGAATCAGACACAGAATCCGAAGCAGGGTCCAGGCTCTGAGTTGTCAGCACAGGTCCGACGCAGGGCTTGAACCCAAAAACTGTGAGATTATGACCTGAGCCAAAGTCAGATGCTTAACAGACTGAGCCACCCAGGTGCCCCATCTCTACTTATTTTTTATCTGGTTGTTACTGCAGCAGTTTTGAAGCCCTGTGGGATATTTCACATATTAGGAGGAGCCTACAGATGTGCTCGGGCAACTCCTTACCCCTCTATCTAAAAATGTTAGTAATTCATTAAGGGTGAAGACTCTACCATTCCTTGTCTGGTATTTTTTGGCAGGTTTGAGGAAGAATACATCACTGCAATATAGTTAGTTTGACACTGGAGATAGGAGAAGGTAAATTGAGAAGATCCTAAGGTGTTATCTTCTGGATAGAATGTTCTTCCCTTCAGGAGGAGGGAGAAGATATTCTAATTCCTCAACTCTGTGTGTGTGTGTGTGTGAGAGAGAGAGAGAGAGAGAGAGCACACGTGTATGTATATATAATAGAAGTATACTTCTGTTTACCAGGCTTCCGCATTCCTTTCTGGGTATCTCGCTAGTCTAGGCCAAGGGCAGCAGGAAAACAGACTGAGATAATTCTCAGAGCGCCGTCCACAGCTCCTGGGCCCAGTTCCCATCAGTGGCAGCTGCAACCATAGTCACGGCTCCCCATTTAAAGTGCCTGTGCTGTTGGGCAGAAACGGCAGGAAGTAGAGATTCAGAAATCCTGTCAGACAGCAGGTTTGGGAGAGGAAGAAGAGTACTCAGTGGGGACTGGGGAAGAGACCTTAGTGGTTCCTAGTGGCATTCAGGGTCTTGGACAAAGCTCACCCATCCCTCCGGCAGGCATACCAAGACTGCCATCTCCGTCAGAGGCTCTTCTGTGTTACTCAACACACTCCTGGTGTCCAACCTGGCTGCAGGCTGCAGCGTGTGCATCTCCTGAGCCTGAGGCCCCCCACCCTCAGTTCCTCAAGTACGAACCCCATCTATATGCCATGACACAGTCCTTGTGTCAGGGCCAAGAGAAACTGCCCTGTGTTGAAAGTGCATTATAATACTTGATTTGCTACAAGTCGCTTCTTGATTTCTGAGTTATTCTCACCAGATATTTTGGCATTTTGAAGTCACACATTCCATGTTGACTCTTTGTTATTTGCCTCTGAGCCTCCACTAAAGAAGAGTGAACACGACGCTATCTGTGGAATATCCATGGCATCTTTGAGAACTTGGTTGCCTTCTTGTGGTTCAGTTGTCACACTGGCCAGAATTTAGGGCCTAATTTTGCAGCGCTCCATTTTCTTCTCTTTCTAGTGTTTCTTAATTTGCAACTAGGAGCATCAAGTCAGAAAGAGAGGACAATATGGGAAAGGGGCTAAGTAAGCTACAACAGGTAGCACAACAGATTTAGAGTTAGAGACCTGAGTTGAACCTTACTAGCCAAGGACCTTGAACAACTTATCCTAAGCCCCTATTTCCTCTTTTATGAAAAATAATATATTATCAATTGTGTTTCTATACATATGCAGTAAACAGCCTGAAAAGGAAAGTAAGATGGCAATTCCATTTATAGAGCATCTAAAAGAATTGAATACATAGGAATAAATCTAACCAAGGAGGTAAAAGATTTTTGCTTGAAGAAATTAAAGAAGACCTAAATAAATGGAAAGAGATTCTGTGTTCAGAGATAGGAAGACTTAATGTTGTTAAGATGTCAATAGTACCCAAAGCAATCTACAGATTCAACGCAATCCCTATCAAAATTCTAACAGTCTTTTTCACAGAAATGGAAAAGCCAATCTTCAAACACATACAGAATTTCAAGGGCTTCTGAATAGCCAAAACAATCTGGAAAAGGATTAATAAAATTGGAAGACTTACACTTCCCAACTTTGAAACTTATTACAAAGCTGCAGTAATTAAAACAGTATGGTACTGGCATAAAGACAGAAGAGAAAGCCTAAAAACAAGCCTTCATATATATGACCAATTTATTTTCTACAAGGATGCCAAAACTATTCAAAGGGGGAAAGGACAGTCTTATCAATAAATAGTGATGGAAAAACTGGACATTTATAGGCAAAAAAAAAAAAGTATACTCATCTTACACAATGTATAAAAATTAACTCAAAATAGATCAAAGCCTAAATTTATGAGCTAAAACTATAAAACTCTCAGAAAAAAGGTATTGGAGAAAATCTGCATGACATTGAATTTGGCACCAGTTACATGGGTATGACACCAAAAGCACAGTCAGTAAAAGAAAACAGATAAATTTGGCTTCATCAAAATGAAGAACTTTTGTGCATTAATGGATATTATCAGGAAAGCAAAATCCAACCCATAAAATGGGAGAAAGTATTTGTAGATCATGTATCTAATAAGGGATCAATGTCCAGGATATATAAAGCACTCCTAAATCG